ATGCGCGCACTTCACTCTTTGTAAAGCCAGATCATTTACCTAATGTCAGTCCCTGATTAATCCTTGATAAAAAAGAGAAATATATCATACCGTAGGTGGAGACAATGGATACTCCTCACTGATAGAAGATATTAAGAATCATACAAATTGTTACACTTATACTGCAACATTCTATTATGGACATAGCACATATTACACATCCATTCTTTTCAGCAAGGTTAATAGTTCAAAAGGATACGGTAGAACAATTTGAATCTTCAATGTGGCACCTTTATACAGTGATTGGTCTGGTGCAGCAAACTTTGCTTCCCATATATAGATGCTGTCTGTGGGCACTGAGACCTCTATACCATGAGGCTTTGAGGCCTGAATAGTTTGAAATTCTTTAAGAATCCTAGAAATAATGTAGGAATGATATGGAAGGAATGTTATTTCATTCTTAAATCTCCTAACCTATGGTCACATATCTTCCTATACTGCAGAAATATCTAATCTTCTTGCTTAAAATTGGGCAGCAACCTTCTCGAATGGTCATAACACTCCCCGAACTGCTGGTTTATGGTACACAAATGTAACCCTATATAACATTGGTGAGTTTACCATGGCGCTTGGACCTTCACCTATGGTCGTAAGTCCTAACACTCCTAGAACTGCCGGTTTATGGTACTAGAATGTAACCCCTTATAACATTGGTGAGCCTAAACATGGGGCGTCAACCTTGAACACGTAAATTAATAAAAAAGAAAATAAACAGATTTTCTATTCAAATGCTTCAGCGATAAAACATCTTCTTGACATCATCAATAACATAAATTATGTTAAAATGTTGTTCTAATACACTCTGCTTCTGATAATATTTCATATAAAACCATTCGTAATTTACCGCACTTTTACTGATTAGAAATCAAATCAATGGTGAAATTCTGAATCAACAGAATGTTACTGTATACTGTCGATAATCTTACCTCTTTTTGGACATTTTAAGACGTCTAATAGCGAGGAGAAACGCAAAAGTGAAAGTTATTACTTTGCTATTTCGAAGAAAACAGAAGGTTTTTTATGTCAGGGTATTTCCCTACGACGTGTCCTGTGAAAGCTGTTATCTGATTGGTCCGATAGTGGCGGGGATTTCCTTTATGTCATTTTAACGCTTTATGATTGGCTCATTTGGCTGCCCTCGAAGAGCTAGATTATTAATTGATAGTGCGAAGTGCAAGCCGAACGGGCGCAGTCTTGGTTATTTGTAGCGCAGCCTGCTTTTGCTCGAAATTTTCTCGCAATTTCAATAGTATTTTGAGGTAAGTTACTCTTGTTTTTGCACTTTTGTGGCTTTTATTTACGGTCGTGATTTATCCAACATAAACCTCCCCGCTATTTGGGGAGCTCATCATTGGCTTTTATAAAACAAACATGACATTTTCAGTAAGATTTGCATTGATTTATTCGAAAAGAACTCCTGATTGCCATACATCAAGTACATATTTATACTACAATATATGAGCATGTATAAAAACCTAACATTAGTTTTGGGAAAGTTACGATTTGGAATAGTTTGTCGGTTTGTCCGTACTTTCGCTTTCAAACTGTTGCTCTACGTAATAGGTTATGTGCCATGTTTAGGGAATTAACCTCTTTCTTATATTTGATCTAGCTCAAGGTTCTGCTGCGATAATGCCAGAGGACAACCTTCAATTGTTTGTGAAAGGTTTGGAGGGTAAAACAACAGTGTATCAGATACACAAGGTATATAAGAATATTCTGGATGATATAGACTTTTCTTTGATGCACTTTTCATAAGTGTTACAGTACTGGATAGAGGAGGTCTAATGAATAGGCCTCCCTCTCAAGTTTTGGCTTTGAAACCCCCCCCCCCCCCTTCTCCCACTTCAATTTGCCATGTTACAATTGCCTCTCACCATAAAGATACTCCGTTTACAATTTCTTTAGGATGCAAAGACAGATGACCTTTTTAGAAAGATCAAGGAGAAATCAGGAATCCCGGTGGATGAACTTCGATTGCTTTATGGTCCAAAACAGTTAGAAACAGGCAAATACTTATCAGATTACCACGTCGAAAATAATTCAACCCTCTATCTGGTGTTGAGGCTCAAGGGTGGTATGATGGATGAAAATCAAAAACAACTGGATGGTGATGTTGAATTGACCTATGAACCAGATATGATAACCTGGGATGATGATCCAGATAACCTCAGGGCTAAAATGCCTTGTGGACATGCTATAGGTAGAGCTAATAATTATGCCTTGTGTTAGTTTGTTATTATGTCCCTCTCTCTTTAATATCCCTGGAATATTCCCTTGCCAGAATTGATCTCTTTTATCTTCAATTGGCCTTCTCTGTTATTTCTCCTTTATATGCCCTCCTCCTATTATGAAACATTCTATCACACCTTCTGTATTATTTTCGATCTTCTGGTACGCCCTTAAGTACTCCATTATGCCCCAACACTGTTGTATCACTTCTTCTCTATTGTGTCTCTAATATAAACCTCCTTTATTCTGTCCCCTCTTCAATGCTATCTACTCTTATCCAATATACCTCTCTTCTATTATATCTGTTGCCTGCTATTGTGTCTCTAATTATAGACCTCCCCTCTTCAATGCCGTCTCCCCTCCCCATCACCTCTCCTCCACTATTATGTCTCTTCCTCTCTAATGTGTCTCTAATTATATACCTCCTTTATTATGTCCCCTTCTTATTTCCCTCCCTCCCCCATCACTTCCCCTCTTCTATCAGGAAACACATACAGCCTAAGCTATACATACCAATATCTCAGTAGACACGTTCTTTCGTGTTGAACCAGGTCCAGAGTCCTTGACAGCATACTGCCGAAGCCTGTTGACTGCTGGTAAATTCCAGTTCCACTGTCCGTATCTTGGACCCAACAATACCAGCTACTGTGGTAAGGAGTGGGACTACGTCGACGTTCGCCGTTTTGCAGTCCTCACCGAGGAGGAGAGGCGGGAATTTGAAAAGAAGCTTTCAGAAAACTACCTCAGGAAGGCCATTGGCATACAGGAGTGTCCAAAGTGCAAGTCTTTTTGTGAAAGAAAAAGCAAGAAGGATCGTTGTGTCAGATGTCCTGTGTGCACCGTGAAAGAGAAGAAAGGCTTCGACTTCTGCTGGTTTTGTTTGCATGAATGGCAAGGCTCAGCGACAAATGCAAAATGTGGTAAGTGGTAATGACACTCGAGGGGTGCCAACTCCAGTAAAAGGGGGCACTCCCCCCCTCCCATTTTTCCAGTTTTATTCTACTATGGATAACATTCAATGATTACATTACAAATTTACCAAAAGTAGAAGACAATGCCCACCAAAATTGGTATGTAATTAGATACTGCCGTATAATTTTGTTTAACTGGCAAAACCCCGCCTCAACAAGGAGTAAAATTGTCTGACAGAGGACTGAAGGAATTCTCAAGTGTTACATCTGAGCTAAGCGCTGCGCCCGCTCATCGCTGACTATAAATGGTCTCACGAGGTCTTCATTTTGTTCAGGTAACACCGACTGCACTGGGCATGACCCGCGTTTGAAAATTCTCCAGGAATGTCCGAAGAAAGAGATCGTGGGTGTTGCTGGTTGTCCATCCAGACGAGCTTGCATCAAATGCGGTTTGCTCATTGAGCATATTCGCAACTGCAAGCACATGAAATGTCCGTGCGGCCAGGAGTTTTGTTTCATTTGTTTGAAATCAAAAGCAGCTGGGAAATATCCCTGCGGATCCTTCAATACCAAGTGCGAAGTCGCAGCTGTTCAAACGCAAATCCCCGGTGCCGATTAGGAGCTGATCGAAGAATCGCTTGCAAAATGAAGGGGGAAATATTGGCTGCTCAGTGTGCTATTGATTGGCGAAACATCATTGGATGATGATAAAGAAGTATTGATCATTTTTGTTACATACTGTACCCTACTACTATAAAGACTAAATAAGAAAGTTTACATTTGTTGATTTTTTTCTTTTGTCAGTACAAAGTTTATGTTATTATCTTGCCGCGGTTTTGTTAAAGAATTAAGTAAATATGCCTTCCTCGTGTTTAAATTTACGGCATCAGAATTTGGCCATGTGTCTGTAAGATGTATTCACCGAGACTTAAAATAGTATATACTATACTTGTAAGATAGAGAATTTTGATTTGTGTTCTGTTAACAAGCCTTGCTAACCATATTCATCGTTATATATGTTAGAATCGTATATATATGAATCTACTTCAGCTGAGTGAGTTAACTAAAAATATTTCTATGCTTCAGGTTATCCTGAACAAATCAATAACAATAAAATTAAACAGAATGCCTTTCCAATGCAATTCTATATATCTGTCATTGTACTAACAGTTTTTTCCAAAAGATGACTTTGCAATTGAAATAAATACACCTTTTCCAATATTTCTTTATATTTTCCTGGAATATTTTACATGAATTTGCAGTTAAGGATTAACTTTAGAATTTCAGCAGTTATTCAAGAACCTGGTTAGTCCAAATTCTGTATATGTTCTCCCAGGAATCTTTTCTGATTCCGGCGTGGTATTATATTTTCAAAAGTTTTGAACACCTAGACGACACTTTGTGCAAGGCTCAATCTCGATCTTAACAGACCGTATATATATATATATATATATACACTATACAGTCCCAAAATGATATAGATTGACTTATTCGAACTAAGAAAATAACTTATTAGAAATATTGGCTTTGGTCAACTACAGCATTACTGTTGGCCTTTCTACGGCTGAATGTATGAAATTAATTGATATTCCTGACTTCATCTTTTACTTTGACAACATATGATAGATTTTAATCACCTGTTGTTTAAAAACGTTGCACAATACAATATTCACAACGCCACGTTGTCATTGCTTGTAAATTAGCATGAATTACCCATGCAGGTACCATTGTTCACTTTGCCCTACTCGAAACAAACCCTTCAGTTAAAATTCTATGTATATCAAAAATCTTTAAAACTCTACTGCTTCAAAGAGACGTCTTGTCAACTCTCATATTGGACGAAGTTGATTTGAAGTTTAACGCAAGGGAAACTGGTTTGCAAAAGATTTAAAGATGGATGCAAAAATGTTATTAATCGTGGAGTATTCAGTCGTCGTTTTTGTTTGTTTAAACTGTGTTTATGGCCGACATTTACAAATTCAGCTGACGGGATACGAATGTTTCTACGACAGTATTGACGCTAATGTATCCTGTTCGCTCGAATATGCGCCGATCACAGGCGCAAATCCGCAACTTGATGCGTTTATCGAGGCCCCGCAAGGTCAACTGATTTACAAAGCCGAGAAAAAGGACTACGATCTCTTTCGTTTTGTCTCGGAGAAGCCCGGCGTGTATCGTTTCTGCTTTAGCAACGTCTACGACAGTGTCTTTCAAACAAACCTGGTGTACTTCGATTTCGTCAAAGGCAAGGGAGACGACACAAGCTTTCCTGGGGCATCGACTCAAACTGCGCTCACACAAATGGAGACCACAGCGTACTCTATCCACGAAGCGCTGGCCGTTATGGAACAGTACCAAAATCATCACAGAATACGTGAGGCGAACGGACGCATTGCCGCGGAAACGTTAAACTCTCGCGTTCAATGGTGGTCGCTCAGTCAAGCTTTTGTCATAGTTCTTGTCAGCCTTCTCCAAGTCTTTGTCCTGCGGAGGTTTTTCACTATCAAACGAGAAAATATTTAATCAATTGGGATATTTTAACTTGTCAACGTCAGCGACGCGCGTCAGGTTTGACAGCATAATCTGCGCGTAACTTTGATAAATTATGGGCACATTTTGACTGCGAGTTTTTGCTGAGCAAAATATACGCATGACAGTGCAAATAATGGACTACTAACTTCAAAATTCAATATCTTCAGTAAATCAACCGATTATGTTTATGCCTTAGTTTAATGTCTAACCTTTCTCGTAGCCATTTCTTAAAAATGTGTGCTCACTTAAGCATTTCTCTTAGATGTCAGTCTAGATTTACTTTTTTTTTTCACTCCGAGGCGAGTGGGTGGCCTAGCTGTCTCTTACCCGGCAATTTTTTGCCACTGACCTCAATGTATACACTTTCGATGGCTACATATTTGGGTGAAAATTTGTATCACTCGACGCGTATCTATCTTTAGATTGATTCAATATAATCCACGACCTATTTTAAATTATGAACAACTGTAAAAAACTACGTATGGAAACTCATTAAAGCGTTTCTCTTTAGCTCTGACTTTTGAGTGGTAACCTAATTTAAGTTTTGGATGGTGGCGCTGTACATTAATAAACAACGACAGGAAACCGTCCGGATCATTTCCGAAAGACAACAGAATGTTCAAAGCAATGCCTTGTTCGTGCATTTTTAGGACATCCCACAACGTCGGGAATCAATTTTACTACGTGAAAAAATGAAGTTTGCCACGTCCGGTGCTGACGTTATTCATTTATTAGAAACACCGCGATTGCAACAATTGCTAAAAATATCAAACATTGAGAACTTTAAATAGACGCAATCAGTGAACCTCTTCGTTCATCGCGACAAGAACGCCTTCACGGAAACGCGCACAACTTACACCTTCACGGTTTTGATGGAAACCGAATCGCACTTCCGACGCGGCCGGAAAAGATCTCCGGAAAATCGTCAGATAAGATTGAAGTGGGATCTCGTCGATTTTCGGCATCCGGCCGCAGCCCAATTCCTCCTAATACACTCGCTGAAGTACGGAAACGCTTTTAATAATGTTGGAATGAAAGTCTTGCGGAAGAAAGATGCTGTTTGAAATTTTTGCTATTTTCGAACATCCGCGTTGTCCCAAAATTTGCCATCACGCGTTGTTTCTTTCCCCTTGGTCGACCCAGTGTGGTGAAACCTCAAACACACCATCATCATCATGCAAGAATTGTCGTTTTATTTACATTTTAAAACGCGCAATTCAAGTTAAACAATTTGTTGCGCTTGGCTTGAATTTAACATCTTTGAGGCTCAGCGGGCTTGCTGTGGTTTAAGTAAATATAGGTGAGGGTTTTTAATTTAGAAAAGATGTCAAAACAATACGAGTTTGGGGTTTTGTTTACATCAAAATGATCAGATGGCCTCCGCAGCGCGCATGTGCAAAACGAAGTAGATCAGGACATCAGGTCCTAATTGCAATATAATGCGGTTAAACGAATACCGCAATTTTAGTGTATAAGTTCTGCTATTTCCCCTTTTGTTCCTTGTAAATATTTCGCGCATAAGACGTCTCGTTAGATTCGGAGAGAATGGCGAAGGAAGTTCGATTGTAGATCGATTTTGCAGGTGCACTTAATTGAAATATTCCTAGGCTATACGCTCTAAACACCTCGTCAACACAAAATGCTTAGGTGATATGAGAGTAAAGAAAAGGCTTTGATCAAAAGTTCAAAAGTATAAAAATTTCAATCAAACTTCACAATCATCTTCTCATAATGTAAAGCGCGTCTAGTTTAATAACAACGTTCGATAAGATATGAAATGAACTCGTTAGGGGCAACCTGTTGTGATTATAAAGGTATTAAATACACTAATCCATGGCTACAGTTTTTGTCGGGTCAGGAGTCAGATTTAATCCTTGCTAGTTCTGTTTTGCTTTGCAGCAATATTGCATGCCTCATTATTCATTGCTTTGAATACTTCTCTGTAATGCTATACGACCAAATCGAGGATAGTGGGAACATTATCCAATTAAAAGACCAGATAAAATGCTTTTAAAAAAAGAGCAGATATTTCTGTATCGAACGTTTAAATTTTTTTTTGAAGATGAGCAAACCTTTTAACATACTTGGAGATGCAATCATTTTCAAGGGTGTATGTCTTAAGTTTTTCCATTGTAGCGTGATATATCGTGATATATCGATCTTCAAAATCAACAGAGAAGACTTTGAGTTACTTTTTAACCTCAAATCAGTTGACATAAATCATAATTTATAAACTTTCATTATATCATCATTTCAACAGTTCCGTGCGATCTCCCTTTAATTTGTGACTTTTTCATAAAATCTTAATGAATTTGAGAAATTCTTCTTGTGGTATTTAGAATTTTAATCTGGTAAAAAATCGTTTTTAATTTTAACAATGTATTACGCTTCTTTTGTTCGCCGACAACCTTAAATGAAAGATAGCGTAGGTTGAAATATAAAATGCATCAAACTCTCAATGTGACTCGAGATAATTTGGTCTGAAATTCGCCTCGCAGAGAAAAAAATTTTAATAAAAATCTCCATCTGGTTTCCATTCTTTAGCAGTCACTGTCTACAGACGCAATTAATCAAAAAGCACAGCGGTATGGTTCGCACTTTATAAGGAAGCGGAATTCTCGGTCGAAAAGGCACTTTAAACCTCGCGGAAATTCACATCTGAGCTGTTTCATGCAATCTCCAACGTAAATATCCGCGTACGGAATCTGGATGTGCTCAAGCCATGGCAATTCATAATGTTATATGAAACCCAGTCGTCCTGTGCAGTTGATTGATGTACTTGTCATGCGTCGTAATAAGTGCAAACACGAAGTACACGTCCCAGCTCAAATGGAGTGTTGCGCGTCTGCGCATTAGGTGGGCATACTTTGATAGAGCAAATGAAATTTGCATTAAACGCGCAAAGGAAACATTTTTGTCTCGCATGGTCTAAGCGCGCGCTGAAAGTGTATTTTAGGAGGACAACAATTTTTTTTTGGAAATCTTCCGAGTTTTAAGATCTCTGGCGAATAACCGGCGAGAGTCGGAATTGAACGTAAGAAAATTATGCTTCCAACTTTAAATTTTACCCCCGAGCAAGTGGCATGTGTATGCGAGGTACTCCAGCATAGCAATGACATGGAAAGGCTAGCGAGGTTTCTATGGTCTTTGCCAGAACACGACAGTGTGCAGAAGGAAGTGAGCGTTCTCAAGGCGAAGGCCGCGGTGTATTTTCACCAAGGAAACTTTCAGGAGCTCTATCGTATCTTGGAGAGCAATAATTTCCCCGTTTCTTCGCACAACAAGCTGCAATCGCTGTGGATGAAGGCGCACTACATCGAGGCGGAAAAATTGAGAGGAAGGCCGTTGGGCGCCGTTGGAAAGTACAGAGTTCGACGGAAATTTCCATTACCGCGGACAATATGGGATGGCGAGGAGACAAGCTATTGCTTCAAAGAACGCTCGCGGAATATACTACGCGAATGGTATACGCACAATCCTTACCCCTCTCCTCGGGAAAAACGCGAACTCGCAGAAGCCACCGGACTGACAACCACACAAGTGAGCAATTGGTTTAAAAACAGAAGACAGCGCGATCGAGCTGCCGAAGCTAAAAGCAGGTAGGTCCAAAAATACCTTAGTAGCATATAAACACCTCACCTATTATTGTACAAGTTGTACACTTCAAAGGATTATCGTTATATTTTTGAGGCATGTCTCAGTGTGTCTGCAAAAATTCTTACGATATAACCTCGTGTACTGGTTATATTACGTTAAAAAGGGTTCAAAAGTGCTACCGAGTATAAATTCGACTGTCCATTAATGCCTTAATGTACAATGTTCAAGAATGTACAGAATAAATATTGTGTTGTGTTTAGCTCGCAATAATGTTGCAGTCAACTGGAATTGATTGCTTTGATTATGTTTACCAGAGGTCGACGGTTACCCCTGCCCGCGTGAATGCCTTAAACGTTTAACATCCTCCATAAGCTTCACGAAATAACGGAGTTTGGCAAGGAAAATGTGTCTAATTATATTTAAACAGACAGCTTACCGATATTTAAAACGAACACATCCTGAATTGTCCTTCAGAGGAAGTAATAAAACAAAGTGTTGAGATAGACGCGAGAATGGCCATAATCACTTCAAGCTTTTCAGACGTTTGTGCGTGACCGCGGAATATCGCTCCTTAAACCAAACGCCTTTCACAATCATCGCGCAATTCACGGCCGCCAAAGTCGCTAAAACCGAGCCGATCCTTCCCTGTTCTGCGCCATGACGCAGTGCGTTGAAACTGATCGCGCTAATAAAGATCGCGTAACATTTAATACGCGCGGTATTACTGACTTTGTTTTTGCACGGATTCTATTGCACTGGCGAAGAAACCTGATTTTGCTTTTATGTCATAGCCTGTTATGTAAGGTAATTTTATCTGCCTTTCGCCAAAAAGGTGCGTTGCAATTAAGACGGATTCAAAGATAAAACAGTCATGGGCTTGCGCACGACAGGAAAGCGCGCAAAACGGCTGCCGCGCTACGGACGTTTTGCGCAATTGATTCTAACGTGCGTTCGCGTACAGCACAATTCTTGGGTGGCTTGCGCGCAATTGACAACTGAGGAAATACGGTTTTTTCGGCCTTAGGCAAATTTAGATTCTGCGTTTCTATTATGATATAAGATACAGGCTTGTATCCGAAAGCTGGGTTCAGTTCGCGCAATCTGATCAAAGAGAATGAATATTTAATTATACCTTTCTGTAGTTTATTTATGAATACCTGGAAAGTGTACCTGATATACCAAGTGATGTATATTAAAGGTGCTAGACTAACATCCTAGTTTTAGATATATCTTTAACAAAAAGCATGCTTGATGGTGTTAGGTACATTAAAGTCTAATCCTTATCTGAAATGCAGGATCAATTCAGGCATGTGTAAAAAGTATTCTACAATAATCTTTTAAAGATATTGCACTAACTACCTTAAAAAGATATCTTATTTTAATGTATAGGTAATATTCACAATAAGTTGTCGTGGTTTGTATCTGAGCTACCTAAAAAGAACATCTCAAACGTTGTGGTTCAGTGTAGGCAGTATTCTACAAAAAGCTGCCGTGGTTTGTGTTTGGACTACCTGAAAAAGATATCTCAAACGTGGTGGTTCAGTGGCGTTAGTATTCCACATACAACGCTAATATCTCCGATTCATGTTTAAACTATCGAAAAAGATCTGAGAAACTTGTGTCTGACCAACAAAAGTCTACTTTGCCATGCATGCACGGATTATCCTGAAAAAGTCGTCAGATAATTTAATGTTTTCTTAGCCAATGCTATGGTCTAGAAACCACTAATTCTTTGCTAGCTAGCTGGAACATCCTAGCAAAAACCACGTTTCATCTTTTCGGGAAGTTCAGATTCTCAATCAACAGCAGTTAGTCATATAGGAGGCATCCTTGTAGAATACTCAACCAAATAAGAGATAAAATTTAGATAGATAATAACCGTTTAGGAATTCTATAGTTGACATTTCGTACCAAACCGTATTATTTTGTGTATTGTATCATAATATATTGAAGAAAAGTATTATGGATATCTGCGAAAAAAACTATTAACCAGTTGAAATAACCATATCATAATATCATTCCTTTCCTAGGGACCCTAACAATAACACAATGGACGAACAACACTCTCCGAAAATGAATCTAGTTACGCGTCATAGCGGGGCTGGACGGAATGAAACAAAATGGTTTAACTCATGTGGATTTTGGCTGTCTGCCTCCCTCACACAATCCTCAGCCACCCATCAAACTTGAAGCTCACGAGATGCAACAAATGCTCGCGGCAAATGCACACGCACAGCGATGCTAGCACAAAACGTGCCGAATTTGCACAGTGTTTACCTGACTCACATATGCTCAACACACTTACACCCTCTCTTGTCGGACTCTGACTTAAAAACTAACGTATTCCTCTATCGATAGTCAATTTTGGGATAAAATCAGGCTTTAGTACCTGTTATACACAGGAAGTTAGGATTCCTCTAAGCGCTATATTAACCTTCGTGAAATTTCGTAATTTTGACTTTTACTTTTGAACTCTCGCTGCGGGTGTTAAAAAGGTACCGTATGCCGTTCTCTTTTAGGGAAATTCAGTTGGTTTTTTTCACATATTAGCGTGCATTTATATAGCATAAAGCGTTATAGGTGTGAATTCGAACTGATCAGTGAGACTGGTTCACACTTTACAGAGCGACTGTTAAACAGCGGCTGTTAACCTTTTCTCTAAAAAAATACGTGTTTGGTTTTCCGCAAGATATTGCTGTAAAATCGCTGTTCATTTGCGTAATGCCTTTAAGCGATAATTTGATCTTTTTAGATAGGAGCAAATTTAACGAAACAAACGTTTACACCTTTAATTCTTAATATACAAAATCACATTAACATATTATGCGCCAGCCCATAGGCTGGTCAATATTGTACATACAAATTAATTGATTCTTTAGCGCGGTCCGTTTTGCTAAGCTTTATTGTACAAATAGTGATCAAAAGGGGTAGAAATATAATTATTCCAGGTGTACAATGGACTTCATAAACAATTTGTAGGCAAACACTTAAGAGTATAGAGAGGAATCATAGAATTGTGGCTCAAGTAGTGTTGAATTATCTCTCCCAAAGTTGATCATTATCTGTTGTAAACCAAAGCTTGCATTTTAGCCCACAAATAACTGTAAATATGTAGTAGATGATGTATAGAGCTGGACAATCTCTCATGAAATGAACACAAACATTGTAATTATATATTTCCTGTGAATCATTCCCAACCTTAAACTGGGGCTCAGAGTCCTGAGATATGGTTGTATTATACAATTGATTGGGTACACAAAAATTCTATAATGGAAAACGATTGAACGTTTAATGTCTTGTAATTTCCTTTCGTGTTTACACATCATATCCACAAATTGTTTTGCCGCTTCGAAATCGTGGGATTATTTGCAAATCCCACGCTGTTTATTGCATCAAAGTGCCGTTTAATTTGAAATCGCGCACTACTCTTTTAAAGCAGTATTTTAACTTTGTGCCGATGCATCCTGATCCACAGGGTGGAACGTATGTATATCCCGTGCGTTTTCTGTCGTGAATCAGCGAAAAAAACACCGATCAAGTCTGGTACCTTCGCGCACTAAATTAGTTTCTTTAATTTGTAGCCGTAAGGTAATTGCTCTCCGATTTTCCTGAGCTATACATCAGAGATAAACCACAGCAAGGTTATCTTTACCACAGACTCGCTGTGTTAAAAGCTATAGTTGTTCAAATCTTTGCGCGACATATCGCCTTGTAGGAATGTGCTCGGTCGTTCAACACAGACAAAGCGCAAAATCTATGTCTATACGCTATATATAGCTGAACTGAATGGGAGTTCCTCGCGCTTGACTTGAATGATCACTCGCGTTGACATTCCGTCGAATATACAGTTTTTATAGCGTATTTCCTGCTGCTTCGCTGAAAAAATTTGCACAAAACACACAAATTCCGGGAATTTCAGGCTGTACTAGTTGATTGTTGTAAGCCCTAAACCACAAAACAGACTGCAGTTGCATGTGAGGGATTTATAAAAAAAATGGTCGGGTTTTTTACAAACCATGAATTAGGGTGTCTGTGTATATTTATGCCTGCAACGCGCATATGATCGCTACTGTTCATATTTATATATATGCATTGACTTTCACATAAATTGTGGATACCATGGCTTTGGACAGCTGGTCGCCCGAGTTAGAGTTAAAGCTAGGATTTATAATCGTGTATATTTTTAGCATTCTCGAGCAGGCTGCCAAGATTCATAATCCCACTGACTGTTCATATATTTGCAAGACACGGTAAACCATAAAGTTTATAGTTTTTGTTTTTGGTATGTTTTTCTCTGCTTCAAGTTAGACACTTAAGAGCGCAGGGGTTCAAGACACTTGTTGTTTTGTTTAGATTCGTATGGAGATAATTTAGACGCGCTATTGAAAGATTTTTTCAACATGTTTAACTTCGGCAAGACTCAAGATATTTTCGTCGTTGATTGTGGCTTGAGTGCCTCCTCAAATATTTCCTCAAATCGATGGCGTTGGCGCTGGACCGCATACGTCAATTGTATATATAGGCTGGCTAGCCTTTGCTGGCCTCGCTGTTAAGTTATGAAGATTTATGGGCATGCAAATAAAAACGAAGGTGCATGTAAACCTGTAGCCGTTTAGTGAATAGTTATTGAACGAGGGTATATATTTGAACGAGATTTTCAATATAAAGGCTCTCTGAACGCCAGCCTATAAGTGTAACAAGCCAGACAGTGTTACCACAGTCTGCTTTGAGTTTACCAGGTGTTAATCGCTTGTAGATCTGGCAATCGTTACCAATGTGAAAGAATTTGACCCGTACTTTCCTAGTATCAGAACTCTCTGGTTAGAAAAAATCACAGAGTAAATGTCCTTAAAAAGATGTCTCCTCCTATAGTGACCACTTGTTGTAAACTAGATCACCTGAATCTTTGTTCTTCAATTCCCGGCCCTTGCTGACGGATTTCAACTATCTTCGTTGCGTGCGCTATATGAAGTAGGTTTATCTTTAACTTTGTTTAAATGCAACCAAAAAAAATCCGAAGCTAGGACGAGGCTATGCAACAAAGTATAGATTTTAATCGCTCACGTCTTGATTCCAATCAAACATAAATCAACGGGATTTCCTGTTGTTCTTCCTAAAGATCGTATCGATGTCAAAAATGTTGTAGCTTTATATTTCATTCTTGAGATCCCATGGGCTGTTTTTTATTGGTATACTATGTAACGACCCTCAAAACTAAACTAGCATGTAATCGTATTATTTAAAAATGGAGCCGAATTTTCTCTTTTCCGATTCCTTTTTTTAGTACATTCTTCCAAGCCGCGAAACACTGCTCATCATTTGAATTGTGGTTTTCACAGTTTCACCATGTAGTTGATGAAATCTAAGCTTCTCTCTTTCGATCCTCCGTGAAAAGGAAACTACATCATTCAAGAACGTGGTATACTCGACCTTGGTAGTAAATAGTTCAAACATCGCTCTTTTTATGCAGCGAACCTAATGCAAATTATTTAAAGTCTTTGTTTTAGCTCATTTGCATTACGTTCGGGGCATATAAAGAAGAGCGACGTTCGACCTAGGCCTTAGTGAAGGTCGAATATACCGGAATATGGTATACTCGACCTTGGAGATAAATAATTAGTGAAGGTCGAATATACTGGAATACTCAGCCTTGGTAATAGAAAACTAGTCGCCGGATTTTTTAAAAAAATTATCGTCTGACAACCACCTTAATTAATCCATCCGAATACTCTCCCCACTCCCTACGCGGCGAAATTCAAAATGGAGGTGGCCGGGCGGCGTTGGTGAAATTCAGACGTGCAAATTCGAGTCTCGAGATCTGCCACTGATGAAATAAGTCTCACAGCAGCTGCAATATTTAATTATACCATGTAAAAGCGAAGAAATAGAGATTATAACATTGATATAATTTGTAGTTTTTGCAATAGCTAATTTCAATTTGTATTTTTTGCTTACAATTAAGTACTGCAGTGTATCTTATCTTGAATACTATGGTAACTTTTACGGCTTCAACGTATATTTTAATAACCAAACAAATGAGTATTCTAATTTCCTGATTTCCAACGATATATGTCGTACCAAATCCGCCATGTTTACAAATGGATTGAAATTAGTTATGTTCAGTGCATATATTTGGCCAAAATAAAAAAAAGAGACAAAAAAGGACAAGGTTTGACCATTAAAACAGCGTGGTTATCCATGTCAAAATATTTGACATCATAACCAAAGCAATGAAAGTATGGTTATATTGTTTAATGTTTGCATATGATCGCCAAGCATGCTAAAAACCTTGCAAAGGACAAGCATTTGACCATTAAAACAGCGTGGTTATCCATTTCAAAATATTTGACATCATAACCAAAGCATGGTTATATTGTTTAATGTTTGTATATGAGCGCCAAACATGCTGGAAACTTTACATTGGACAAGCATTTGACCATTAAAACAGCGTGGTTATCCATTTCAAAATATTTGACATCATAACCAAAGCAAGGTTATATTGTTTAATGTTTGTATATGAGCGCCAAACATGCTGGAAACTTTACATTGGACAAGCATTTGACCATTAAAACAGCGTGGTTATCCATTTCAAAATATTTGACATCATAACCAAAGCAAGGTTATATTGTTTAATGTTTGTATATGAGCGCCAAACATGCTGGAAACTTTACATTGGACAAGCATTTGACCATTAAAACAGCGTGGTTATCCATTTCAAAATATTTGACATCATAACCAAAGCAATGAAAGTATGGTTATATTCTTTAATGTTAGCATATGATCGCCAAGCATGCTAGAAACCTTGCAAAGGACAAGCATTTGACCATTAAAACAGCGTGGTTCCTCTCATAATTTGCATATCAGCACAAAATATGCTTGCAACTTTCCATCGGAACAGCATTTGACCATTAAAACAGCGTGGCCAGAATTACACCATGTACCATTTTACCGGCGCATTTGACCATGGTCGTGTACTATTTTACGGTATATTCGAGCATGGTCGAGTATACCGTTTTCCGGCCATATTCGACCCAACCATGGTCGAATATACCGTTTTCTGTTTTACTGCAATGCACAAGATCGTATGATTCCCAGGTGGTCAAATGGAATCTGGCGCTCTCATGACTATGGGTGTGTCTGGGGTGAGTACGCTTTCTTGAATTACATATTCAGGCTGGATTCCACTTAGAATTTCAGCTAAATAAATTAGTTCCACATGTCTGTTCTCAAATATCAATTCAAAAGAAAATATGCAAATATTTCACAAGCGAGCTCTTTCTCTGTAAGTGGAAATTCATACATTTTTTTAACTTTTTTTATCCGCTTCAACTTTCAAATCAGTCGAAAAGTCAATGGCTTGTTCACATTTTTTTAAGGATTTAGGAGGGCACCGAAGAGCTGCACATAGTCAAAATTGAATTGGAGCACGGTACTGCGTCTGAAAATATTTCAAAAATGTCGCAATTGCGTAGGAAAAAAGTTGCAATTATTGGAGCTGGTATTATTGGTGTTTCGACTGCGATATGTCTACAAGATTCAGATCCATCTCTAGAATTAACAATAATTGCTGATAAGTTCTCACCGAACACAACAAGCGATGGTGGTGCTGGATTGTGGAGTTGTCATCCCGGAAAATGGGTGAAGGGCAGTAAACCAGAAAAACAAAGGTACTAACAGCAAAGGTGCTAACTATTAAGAGCCAAGGTGCTATAGAATCATAGTTTACCAGGGCAATTATGTATTGTACAGACATTAATCAATATTTTGGGGGTGTTGTATATTCAAATGACCATTGCAGTTACTACCCTAATGGCAATGGGGTAGTCATACATAGCATTCACTGTTACTTTGTTGAGAGTTGGATGGTTCAGGTATCCTGTAATTGCATCAGCTCCCCTATTCTTGGGCTTCATGTGACGTCATAATTCTACTGGGGGTAATAGAGACAGTAAATTGGGGTGACAGTTAATTGTTCACTGTATGTGTTGGCTTTGTACTTCGTAGCAAATACATAGACAATTTCGTATCATTTGCTCACTCCTGTTCAGCATAAGGGTTGACCCCATCTCAAATCACTATATGAAAAGTTAAACAATATGTGAGATCCACCAGTTGCATGACAATGTGCAGATACCTCTCCAACGTGAAACATGTTTCCTTCTTTTCTAGACAATGGGGTGAAGGAACACTTCACTATTTGAAATCAATTATTGAATCTGACATAGAATGTAACTTTGAGATGAGCTATATAACTGGATATTTTCTCTATGACCACATTATGCCCGAGGTGAGGTACTGTTTGTAGGTCTAGTATGACTACGATTCTGAAAATGAACAAAGTTTCAAGACGGGTAACCTGTGGGTTTATCTAGACTTGGTTAATTGAATTTTTATGACATGGCCATTGTAACCTTCTGTCATTTTTTTTCTCATAAAATAATTTTGTAGGAACCAGCACTTCAAGATATCGCATTGTATTACAAAAGGTTATCTCGAGACGAATTGGGAAAATTAGGGTTCTCCAGTGACCTTATGTAAGATTTGACATTGTTGCTATTGTTAACAATTCCTAGCTTCAAGCTTGAGCTGTGGCAAAGTGCTCATATTTAGAGTTTCAGATCATATGGGATTGTTAAAATCAAGGAGTGTGTATTTACATGAGATTCATGATGAGAATCTATGAGCCACATGGCAAGAGGTTGAAAGAGATCTTAACAGCCATCCATCTATGCACAAATTGAGTGGCTGTGGAAGGTGTTCTAATGATAAATTAAAAGTAATAAAATAACTATTTCTTTATGACATGCATTAGATTACAATAAATAAATAATGTCATTTATTGTTTAGTGATGGCTTCACCACCACATCAGTGATGTTCCCTGGTACTCCATATTTACGGATAAAGTTGAAGCAGTGAGCATCTTGCATGTCAGCTGTGCTAGGTATTATATAACAGACATTTTAAATACCAATTTTTGTATCTTAGGTTTCAAAAAAATGGAGGAGAGGTCATTAAGAGAAAAGTCAAATCATTTGATGAGGTGAATGTTTAGTTTTGTATCCGACTGGACCAGTAAATAACCAAACTGTATCCATTATCTAAATGGCATTTTATGCACCATGGTGCAATATGATGGTTTATTCTTCCATATTCCAGCTCAGTGCTTGGTCCAATTAGGAAAACAATGAAAGACAAACCTAATCAGATTGAAACAACATCTCTTTCAATAAAGTATATAGTTCTAGCTTGCTGGCAATTATATTCTTTTCCTTCTCTGAAACTAGGGGCTTGCATTTTTTAATTATATTTCCGAATTACATAAAAATTATAAGTAGAGTCCTCAATGATAAAGCTAAATCCGTAGGGATAACCAACCTTTGGAATAAAGCATCGTTATAACTGTTTCAGTTTGCCGGAAAATTTGATGTGGTTGTTAACTGTACTGGAGTAGGCGCACGTGAGCTGTGCCAAGATGAAGAAGTTGTGCCAACAAGAGGATACATTTTAAAGGTATTGCAAATAGGAATGGGAATAAGATGAAACAAAACTATAATTGTTTATATTTCATTGAAACGTAATATGTCAGGTTACGTCCAACGTACATCCATTAACAATGTTTTTTGAAAGATTCTCCTAAGCAATATACCAATTAATTTCCTGTGATATAATTTTTTTCATAATTATTTTTCATATTCAGTATATTCCTAGTTGTGTTTTACATGTTTTAATCCTTTAGATGGATGCACCTTGGGTTAGACATTTTTACTATATACACAGAAAACAAGAATTGGATGCCGGCCTTGCAACATACATTTTTCCCAGGTAAAATCGCTGTTGGCATTTTGAAGAGGTTTTCTGTCATTACTTACACTGATATTGAAACCTAAATATGGTTATTCACCAAGTTCTAGACTCAAGTCTTTGACTTTAGATTCAAAGATGTCAATTGTTGGTGGAACAGCTCAGCGTGGGAATTGTAATACAACTGTTAATAAAAAGAAACACAAGAAATCCTTGACAAAGCCTCTGAGTTTGAACCTACAATAAAGGTATGTAGGTCTTATGTTAATAACAATGTACAGTTTTTAAACACCTCTCTGATACAGACAACTTTCTGATACAGATATCTCTCTATAATACTGTCATACCTCTCTAATACAAACACTAAAAATAACCCCTCTCTAATACAAGCACCTTTCTAATACATACATCTCTCTAATACAGACATCTCTCTACAGACACCTTCCCAGTACAGACACCTCTCTAATGCAGACACCTCTCTCTAAGACAGACACCTTTCTCTAATACAGACACCTCTCTCTAATACAAACACCTCTGTAACACATTGACACCTCTCTAATACAAACACTTCTCTCTAATACACAGACACCTCTCTAATACAAACACTTCTCTAATACCTCTCTAATGTAGACACCTCTAATACAATCTTTTTTCTAATACAAATTCCTCTTATACAGACTCTTGTCTAACAGAGACAATTCTTTGAAACTTACATTGGTCTTATATAGTAATTAATGCCCTTTTTTATCATGGCAAAGGGTTAATACACTTTTTGTTAATTAACAGAAAGCTAATATTATGGAAGAATGGGTCGGCTTACGTCCCGTAAGGGACCATCTTCGTTTGGAAAAAGAGATTATTGAAGTCAAGACTCAATATGGTTCTAAGTCCAAGTTACAGGTAAAAGGCTTTTTGTGCTAACTGCAATCCTGGACTATCCTAGACATCATTTTGAGATATGAATCTAAAAATGACAAAAAATACTTTCTATGCCACCTTTAAAATACAGGTGAGGGGGGGGGACCCACAACATAAAACATAAATTTTATACATTTTATGTTGCAGGTGGTTCATAATTATGGTCATGGGGGATGCGGTTTGAGCCTATTTTGGGGCTGTGCTGAAGAGGCGACAAACTGGTTCATAGTTGTTTGTTACACAGTGGCCTATGATTTTAGGTGACATGAATGGAATTGATATATAAATTGTATATTATATATAACTTTTTGTTATTTTGTAAGGGATTTTTAATTATCAATCAAATTTTGAATTACTGCATAAATATATGGCAATATATATATATTATGATAAATCTATTGCACCATAGGTTGTGTCATATGAGCCAAAAGTAAAACAGAGTGATAGCATTTATCAGGAGTATACCAGCATGGTGATATTAATAAGTTAATTTTTGCAAGTTTTTATCAATCCTGTACTAAAAGGTGTAAGTGAAGTGTAGTGTGCAATTTTTTCATTAGTACTAATCAAAATACTTGGGCCATAATGATATTCGTTGTCATAATCGTGAAAGCTATCACTGAACATTGATTCACGATGGTTATGATGATGGTTCATGGTTATTATGATGACCATAGATGGTCATGACGTATCCTGGCGCAGCCGCTGAGAAACTATTTTTGCATTCGCAGGCTCTGGAAATGTCAAAAATATTTTGGTCCGAAGCAAACAATTGAGGATGTGGATAAAACGATATTACTTTAGATTTTATTGTAAAAGATTATAGCGCTGTTTGGCGGCAGAGAGCCTTCGCTTTTTGTTATGGCGGAGACTATTCTTCCTACCCTTCTAGCCTTGTGGAGGAATTAAAAGCATTAGATTTGGAGTTGGAAGAAGGTGAGGTTCTTCGGTATAGACTGCTTGCATGTAAACACTGCTCTTTCGTTCGGGCCTGAATATATCGCCGTAAGTCTAAAATTAACCGGCAAAACAGTCTTTTTTTATGCTATATTTCAGTGCAAAGCCGAGAGTTTGCAGTGTTTCTTTGTGAGCGAGTCTTTAATGTATTAATTCGTAAACCAAATACATAAATCTATTATGTACACTGGAGCTTTTTACTGGTGTGACACTTTGAATATATTCATTTTAAAATATATTCAAAAGAATTACATATTGGTCTGAATATATCGTCCGAAATGCCATTTACTATAAACTTTAAGTGTTTTAACTTGTATACCGAGTTTATTAGTCTCAATGATCTGTGTCCGAAATTTTATTACATTCAAAAGACCTTTTTATTTCGGGTTAATCGAGATAACTTGTATTTTATACCATGTGTGAAAACGATACATATTTTTCTGTATATGGCATGGTCTATATCATTTCAATTCAGTTATTTCGTATTGAGGCTTTCTAATTTGGATTTCTTGTCGTTTTCTGGGGATTTTTCATGAAAGTTCAAGGCGTTGATTAATGCAATATTGATTGTATACAAAGTGGCGCATAAGTACGAAAGATAAAGATCAGAATAAATTTAAGGAAACCATGAAGTGTCTTTGGGAAATAGCTCCTTTTAGACTATCTTGTGACAAGCAAGCTATGATATTCTGTTATTACCCTGCTGATACGAAATTACAGTGTATAGAACCCTGCAGTGAGGTGACAGTACAAGGTCTTTGTTATTTTTAATAAATTAATTCTATGTGGGATGGTCTTGAATTTTAGGTGACATTACCAGAAAGGATATGAGAAAAAGGCAAAATTATTGGCCAGGCTTCCTCAAGGTATGCAATACCATCAATTTAATGTGTTCGACAAAGCCTGAATTAGTCGCTCAATTTTATTTAGCCATTGCTAATACAGCCCTTGAGCAAGTAACTTAATCTTAGATTTTCATGAAACTACAGATCAAATTTCATACTGCTTGATTTTCAATATGTTTTTTCAAGTATTTTCTTATCAGTCGAGGTTTATTATATATGATTAGGTGGGGAAAAACAGCATGTTAAAACCCAACCCAGCATTGAGGGTAATTGAGCTTCAAACAATCCATTTGGGTGTATATTCTAAAATGTTTGCTGAAAATATGTTGGGATCCAACTTTTATATTTTTAAATTTGGAAGTGTTGTTGCCAATGCACTTTCAAAAAAACTTGCATATCAACTTTTTTTGAAACACACTAGTAAAATATCTCAACTAGAAGTTGAGGAGGTCTGAGGACATTAGAAAGTTCCCTTCTGTATCAGCTGAGATTCCCATTCCATTTCACCTTTTAATTTGTCCTAACAGCACCACCGCCTGTGGAACCACGACCCAAACCTCGACCTGAGCAAAGACCAGAACAATTCCTTTTAGTCCTGGTTCAGACTCCCCATATCACCCTCTTCCTGTATGTACTGTATATTCAATATTATTAACTCCTACATAGATAACACTGTTCATGGAACAAATTATGTCTTGTCTGTTTGTACAATTGTGACATAAAGCAGATATGTCTATTGAAGGGCATATCTGCTTTATGTCACAATGCTTTATTTGGAAAGTTGCATGCTATGTCATGATGTTGTGATTGATATAATGTCAGAATGTCAAACAGCCATAGTTCAACAAACTTGGGATAAATGGTTTTATAATATTAATGCAAAATCAATGCATCATATCTGAAAACGAATAGTCTGAAATATGTCCCTGCCTTGTAATTTGGCTTGTTTACCCATATACAGATGCCATGGTGTTGTGGAAATTATTTATATTTGTATTCAAAATCCCTAGTATTGCGTGTTGAGGTGGTACAGGCTGCTTTAGCTCAACGAAAGTCTCAGATAGAGTCACATGGGCCTTCACCTTTTAAACGACAGTCCTTAGACAAGGGCCGACTGAACTACAAGAAGGTAGTACATCTTGACTTCACTATCCAATTAGCATACCTGCAGTTTGGAAAATTAGCTGGAAAGTAAAGAAATTTAGTCTCAAATTTAAAGTCAATGCTTTAGTTTGCATGCCAGATGATTTTATTGCTGAACCTAAATTTTTTTCCAGTTGACATTCCACTTCCTGATTATGATGGGGCAGACAATTTAACTAGCGCGAGATGCAAGCAAGCAACGAAGCACCACATACAGACTAAAAGTAGAAGACACATCGATTCCAAGTGTTTTGAAAGCCACACCTAAACAAGAAGAAGAGGTTGTTGTGGCCCAACCGGTTGTTGAAGCTGATCGTTCCAAAGCAGGGGCAAACGAAGAAGTCAGATGCAAGTGGTATCAATAAGACTCGATTCAGACTCTGACTCCAGTACTGGACGTAAGTATGAAAGCTTAAAGAGTTATTCATGTGCAGTCTTAGTTAGTTTACACATCCTTTGCTTGGTAAGTCTTGTACCTGGGTGGATTATTTCATGCAAGAAAGAGCAATTGGGATAGCATTGTTCATCATATTTAATAATCAGATAGTAAAAGAATAATCCTTATTGAATCTTTAGGGGGAACAGTTTAGAACTTGTAGGGCTATCCAGCATAGATTACATTAGTTAGGTTTAGTCATATCCAGAACAGATTACCAAATTTGAATAAAGTTAGTTTAGTTTAGTTTAGATAACCCATGTAGTAACACTGGATCAATAAGAGATGATCCTTGCTGACGGACCTCTATAAGGAACTGTTCAGACTGATAGAGCTATCCATTATGAATGAAGTTAGTTTAGTTTAGGTTTCCTCCTGTAGTAACACTGGATCAATAAGAGATGATATTTACTCAGGATCTCTACTCTCTAGGAGGAAGTAGTTTGCATCTGAGCTATCCAGTATTGATATATTCAATTTTTATAAACCTTTTTCTTTCAGCATCTTCTCCAGGAAAGGTCTCCTCCAAATCCAACAGCTGTTAAACACATTGAGGGTATTGTGCATAATTATACTATCCATTCAACAATTAGATATGTTCTTCACAGTGATGACTTTTGTATGGGCAGATTTGCAATCATTTTTATTCTCAAAACTAGTAATTTTATACAATTTTGTTGTTCACTAGATCTTAAATTTTAATTTCAGAGACCAAAGCGCAAGCCTTTGGAGCAATTCTTTACAGATGATTATGAGTTGTTGAAGGTAAATTTTTTTTCATATTAACATTGTACCTCGGCAAATCAGTTTAGCAAAAGGTTATCAGCATTCCATTGGAAACCATGTGTCTTTGATGCTGATGAAAGCAAGTGAAATGTGCTTTTTTTACAACTAATATTTTTACCACAGAAGCAATACTCTTTGAAAAGTTTTAAACTTCAAGTGCTCTTGAAAGACCCTTCAAGCTTTAAAGTTCTTTATAAATATAAAGGTCTAAGGAATACACTTGAGTCTGTATCCGGATGAATTTTCATTGCCCAGGAAAGCTTGTGTTTGGGTGGTAATCCATTTTTTTCAATAATTTGTATCTTTATATTTGATAGAACCAAAGCTTGACCCAGGTGCCCGAAACCTGAAGGAACGACAACAAACCACATCCATAGGCGATCCACTCCAAGTAAGTCTTCAAGCACAAATGAATATAAATGCAGAAGCAGATACAATGCTGTGGTCAGCTCGCGATTTGTTGAAATACGAAATAGTTTTTCCTGGGAAATTATAGCGCCTAGTGTAACAGCATGAATGGCATCTGGGGGCATTTCTTTTGAATTTTAACTTACTATGAAATGTGATTTAACATCCTAATATGCAAGAAAAGTTTTGACATTGACGTAAGTGCCTTAAGAAGAGAAACAAACCAAGAAGGACGGATGATATGACATATACAGTATTGTAAATCATTTGACTTATATTTTTGTCCTTTAAAAATGATGTGAGATTAAGAGATATATAGGGTGTCGCAGGAAATTGACTCATAATATTACCATATATGTTTGTTTTAGGAGAATGATGCAGATATGACCATATATAGTTATTTGTAAAACTTCACAATTTTGACAGTTTATATTGCTATATTATGGCCACTGGCCACACATAGTTTGTCCTGTGAAACTGATCCAGGAGAACAAGGAATAGTTTGCTTTAGTGGGACAAGCTGTGTTTTGTGACAGTGAGTCAATTTGTGTTTGTAATTTTAGCAACTTGCCCAATGGGTAATAGTTTGGAAGAAGCTTTATACCGTTATGGGACAAGCCTCATAAAGCTGCTGCCATTCAACCATCGACCATTGTAAAAACTTTATACGCTATCATATGGTAAGCAAAGTCATTCACACACAAGCTGTGTATATAATTCATCTAAAGCCTTCAAATTGATGCAGCTTTGGTTTATTCAATTTATGGACTCTTCACACTAATGCATGGTCTCTTTCTCAGGGAAATTGTTAAGCAAGGCACAAAAAATAGCCTTCACCCTTTTAAACAAGGTTGGCAATCCTAGAGGGGAACTTCAATAATGATGGGAGACCGGTGAGTACTGCGATGTATATTTTGAAGAACTATTCCTCCTATTGTGGGAAACACCTCAGGGATTGATTGATTGCCATTCTCCTCTGTTTTAAAAGCAGGGAAGAAGTTTATATTAACTGTCTTAAAATCTTTCTTAGGTGGCATTAATATATCATCCAGATGATAGTCGGCTTTTCCACAGCATTCTATGGTTGTTTACTGGCTGGTATCACCCCAGTTGCTGTTGTACCACCAATCAAAGATGTGAGTTTTTGTGTGTTTGTTTTCCGGCCGGCTTACGTGATACGAAATATTTACCCAGCTATGAAACCAACATTTCAGGATCCAGGTGGGCAACAGATAGGATTCCTTCTTGGCAGCTGTGGTGTCACGTGGGTTCTTACCACTGAAATGTGCTTCAAAACTTTACCAAGGATGATACTGGAATGTGGTACATTTTAAAGGTAGGTACTTCTGTTCAGTGGTAATTATTAATGTACAGATGATGGATAATTCATTATTTTATATCAGAGACAACCTACTTTGAATATTTCTTTCTTCAACCTTCATGCATTGTAACTAACTAATACAACGATGTTATTCCACTTCTAGGTTGGCCAAGCATTCGTTGGTATTATACCGAGAAACTTGGCAAACCACCAAAAGATTGGCGGCCACCATCAAGTCTGGATCGTGCGTCACCAGCTTATATTGAGGTGTGTTCTTTGGTGCCCCCGATTCGCCTTAATTCACCCCGTTCCTATTGAATTGTTTGCCGTTTTCACCCACTACTATCCTAAGAACCGTAATATTGTTTACCAACGTGAAATCCAAACTCTAAATCCTTTTACCTTCAATTTAATCACAACCTCTATCCTTTAATCCCGATTCATTACTCAATCTAATCTTCTCCCAAACATACCCTTAATTCCAATCCTACATAATCTTGGCGAAGTCTTATGGTTGCAAAATTGAAATAGCCTGAATAATGTGATTCATTTCAATGTATTTAAAATATCTTGCATCGGCAGTCAACGACAGGCAAAGATGGTTCCGCCCTTGGCGTGTCCGTCACTCGTTCAAACATGTTGACTCATTGTCAAATGGTGACCCAGGCTTGTTCATATACTGCTGGTAAGTAACAAAGATTAAATCATACAATAATTATGAAATATTGGAGTATCCAGATCATAATTTGTTTTCTTCTCTTTGTAGGTGAGGTTATGGTCAGTGTGTTAGATTTCAAACGAGAAGTTGGTTTATGGCATTCTGTTTTAACAGTAAGACAGTTTAATTGGAGTTTCTTATAATTATGCTACTCTTGCCATCATATTTTCATTCCATTTTTTTGTATATTTCCAGAGCGTTTACAACGGAATGCACGTGATCTTTGTTCCTGGAAGTGTTCTGAAAGCTCCCGCCATGTGGTTGCAGGTTGTCACAAAACAAAGAGGTAGGGTGGGTGATGGGTACAGCGTTACCTTCAGTCGTTGGGTGGGTGATGGGTACAGCGTTACCTTCACCTTCAGTGGTAGGGTGGGTGATGGGTACAGTTTTACCTTCAGAGTTAGGGTAGGTGATATATAGGTACAGTGTTACCTCTCAGTTGCCTGGGGGCGTAGTTAAGGTTTTCTTATGTAGTAGTTCTGATATATGGTATTATATTTCTTTCAGCAACGTGTGCTCTGGTGTCATCTCGCGACTTACACTGGTCTCTTCATGCGACGAAAGAAATCAAGGATGTCAATCTTAGTTCACTCAGAATGCTGCTCTTAGCAGACAGAGCTAATCCCTGTAAGAATTTATGGCCATTAAAAGATTGTATATATTTAGTAATGACTCAGACGCTGGTAATTGATCTAGCCTGAATACCTCGTTTTAGTACTAAGATGATTTTTTCCACACAGGGTCACTTTCAGCGTGTGATGCATTTATAAGTGCGTTTGAAATGAAAGGACTGAAATCAGAGTCTCTCTGTCCTTGTGCGAGCTCATCTGAAACACTGACTGTCGCTATCAGACGGTAAGTTCACCTAAGAAATACTTCACCTAAAGTAAACTTCAACTAAGGATTACTTCACCTAAGGATTACTTCACTTGAGTTGACCTGCACACTTCCACCTACTTCCTTGCTATAAAATGTCTCTTGTTTCCCTCATTTCTCCAGACCAGGAAAGCCAGGATCGACTGCAACGGGACGTGGTGTGCTGTCTCTGAATGGTTTGAGTTATGGCGTGGTCAGAGTGGATAAGGAAGGTTCTGTTACCTCGTTGACATTACAAGATTGTGGTACGGTCCCCCCTGGAGGTATGTAACTCACGATAACAAACGAACATTTGGAAGGGGGGGCTGAAAAGCACCAAATTACTCTCTTTCTTTAGTGAAAATTGTGGTGGTGAAACCCGAAGGACCTCCGAAGCTCTGCAAAACAGATGAAGTCGGTGAGCTGTGTGTTGCCAGTGGTACAGTTGGCAGTGCTTATTTTGGTCTTGTTGGAAAAACCAACTACACATTCAAGGTATTGCTGTTGTATTTAGGCGGCCTATTTCAGATGTTAACTTTTCATGTGCAATCGAATGCAAATGAACTGAAACGAGTAAACAGGGTCTCGTTAACATTAGTTTCGGCATGTATAAAAAGTTCGACGTCTGAAACGGGCCTAAGTATCGTATTAGAGTTGAGTAATGAGTGTTTTCAGGTGAACTGATTTTCAGTGAGGAACTAAACTGTAGTAAAGTTTGTAGTTACTTTACGTCTTAGCGGTTTTCTAGCTCTGGTGAAAATCGATGCGATTTCTGTAGTTGTCATCTTGAATCTCTTACAGCTATTAATATGTGTTGTCCTTATTAAGGTTCAACCTCTCGGTGCAGATGGTGGTCCAGTAGACAATATTCCCACTACTCTGAATATGTTCGTACCTGGCTTACTCGGCTTCCTTGGACCAGTGAGTGTCGACTTTTTTCTTAAATTTAATATCGTTAACTTGAAATAAAATCCTCCTCTTGAAATTTCCACGAAGGGTGGTTTGGTATTTATATGTGGTACTGTCGATGGTCTTATCAAAGTGTCTGGTAGACGACATAACGCAGATGATCTTAAGGCGACTATTCTGGCTGTAGATCCTATTAAATTTGTCTATAGAGGAAGGTAAGCAAGTTTCTAAGCTCCAAAAAATCTTCTAAACTCAGCTGCAGATCTCTTTAAACAATTTAAAACTATTAATAAAAAAAATAGTTAGATCTCTTATTGATTCAGTGTTATTACAGGAGGAAATCGAGAAATTTGCTGCATGATAGCTCTATCAGTTCTAAACTTTTGGAAAGATCTTTTATTGATCCAATATGATTTCAATACCACAGTAACCTCTTCACCTAATCTGACGTTTTTTTCTGTGTCAGAATTGCGATATTTGCAATAGATGTTTTACGCGAAGAGCGAATCGTTGTCGTCGCAGAACAAAGACCAGATTGTACAGAAGACGAGGTAACAAGACGTTTCATCCTAGCTCCAAAAATAACTCCAAATATAACTCCGTCGACTTTTAAAAAGGTTTCGTGTTGTTCTTCTTCAACTAAAGAACACTTTTGTTTTCAGGCGTTTCAGTGGATGAGTCATGTTATCCCTGCTGTGGACAGCATTCATAGCGTAAGTGATGGTGTTTGTAGTTGATACGAAATATATCATTGTTTACGTTCATAATAGAGTTAGTTTTACTACATTCAGGGCCATTTACACTTATCATTTTTACTGCAATTTTCGGTGATTTTCTTCTTTCGATTGATGTAAAAGAGAATATAGTTGTGAATGCTTTGATGTATAAACATGCTTGTTTAAGCATTTGAAATCGCCTTAAAAATTGCAAGTGTGTACAGGCTTTTGATGGTTAGATTCGCATGAAACTAATGTACATTTCGGATTCCTAGGTTGGCATTTATTGTTTGTGTCTGTTAAGCCCGGGAGGTCTACCAAAGGTAAATCAATTATTCAGCTAACGAATGATTACAGAATAGCTCTTGTCATAAAGGTCTTGGATACAGACACAAATCTGTACGTTATAAATTTTGCTTTTCCTTTCAGACCTCGACTGGTTATGTTCATATATTTGAGACAAAACAAAGATTCCTAGACGGCTCCTTGCATCCATCGAATGTCCTCATGTGTCCCCACTCGTGAGTAACTTATTCACTTTAAGAAATCTTCCCTGTCTTCCCTGCTGACCTGGAAAGAAATGAACGCTCAATTAGTAAATGACAATGGCATTTGAACTTCATGTTAGAGGCTTTCTTAATTTAAGTGAATATCTTTCTTTAAGTCAAACACCAGATTTAGTTACGAAAAATACCGCATTTTCTGACCATATCCACGGATTCTTCTTTATTTCTTCAGATGCGTGACTAACCTTCCCAAACCTCGAGGAAAACACCAAGGTATGACTTAGTATCAACGATGTTTCTCTTCCAACACCACTGATTTTCTTCATACGATGGTTAAATGTAAGAATTTGCATTATTTTCCCAGAACCTGGTCCAGGGGCTGTGATGGTTGGAAATCTGCTACGTGGAACAAGGATTGGAGAGGCATCTGGCAGAGAGATTGGCGAAATAACAGATGCGGATAAAAGGGTATGTACAGTAAATATCGATGAAAGAGCTTTCATATACATATTCACAGTCTTAGAACAGTCTTAACCATCATCGCGAGTATATACCAAATGCTTTCGACTAACATCTGTATTATTGTTTGTTTTCAGTTCCAATTTCTTTCAGAAGTTTTGCGATGGAGAGCTCAGTCGACACCAGATCATATCCTTTACTCATTGTTAAATACTAAAGTGAGCATCATTGTATACTCTTTATAAACGTATTCGATTGCTACATGTGATTCTTTTAAGATCTCTAGAGCTATCGTATGATTCTTTTTGTTAGGGAGGACTGGCGTCCACATTGAATTGTGTTCAGCTTCATAAACGCGCAGAAAGAGTAGCTCAGATGGCAATGGAATGCGGTGATCTCAGCTCAGGAGATCGTATAGCCTGGTTTATCCTCCAGGTACTGATCGTAATACATACTGAACCTAGTAGGCACTGATCCTAAGACCAACATCACTCCAGTCTCTGACTTCTGAAATTTTAAGACTTCTGAAATTAAGACTTCTGAAATTTGCCAAAATCTAAAATTTGCCAGAAGGCTTGAAACCTTCTTCTTACTTTGGTTTTCGAATACTACATTTGATAATATAAGAAAACTTTTATATTTTTCTGTTCCTAATTTTAGGAATTGATCTGGTCGTTGCTGTATACGCTTGCTTGTATGCGGGTAGGCGTGCACTTCTTTTACAGACTATGATGAAACCCATAGACTAATATTTGTTGCATCTGGGGTGAAAGTTTCTTTAAAATTACCCTTTAATGAAAGTACCTGGATTGAAAGTTGTGCCACGAGGACAAAGAATGAGCTAATTTTTCATAGTTTTCCTACCTGAAGTGAAACATTGCGATTCATGTTGTGCAAGGCCTTGTTTTGGCTAGATCATTTCTGACCGCCTCGCAGGATGCTCGTCCTTCGTTGCAATCCTCTTAGATAATCTTCTATCTTGCAGGTCTTATTCCAATCCCTATTCGACCACCCTATCCAAAGAACGTGGCGACGACTCTCCCAACTTTGCGTATGGTGATCGAAGTGAGCCAAGCACAAGCAATTCTCACCATCGGCCCTCTGGCTAAACTTATAAAGTCCAAGGAAGCGTTAAGCGTGGTGAATAACAAACCATGGCCTCTTATACTGAACACTGATGATCCACCCAAGAAGAAACTCCTCAGACCTTATAATCCCCCCACTCCAGAACTTTTAGCTTATGTCGATTTTAGCGTTTCGACCACGGGTGTTTTAACTGGCGTCAAGGTGAGTTTCGTATCCCATGTATTCAATTCAACAGGATGCGCTCTCCAGTTTTTGTATATATCAGTGTGTGGTAAACCTCAGGTTGCACTTCCACTCCTCTTTCATACGTATTTTTCTAAAATTTTCCTTGTCCAGATGTCTCATGCAGCGGTGACGGCGTTGTGCAGGTCTATTAAACTATCATGCGAGCTCTATCCTTCAAGAGATATCTGCCTCTGTCTCGATCCATACTCCGGACTTGGATTTCTTATGTGGGCGTTGACGGGGTAAGTTGCTAAGACAAGCAATAAGCTTTAGCATGAACTGACTATTTTTCCACATCCGTGATGGCACTTCTTGTTTTACCATTAGTATTTTCTCTGGTCATCACACAATTCTGGTGCCTCCTGGTGACTTGGAAGCCAACCCAGCCTTGTGGTTGACAGTCGTGAGTCATACAGGTACGTGTCTTCTTTGGATAACAGAATTGGTCGTTTCATTGACTAACCTGAATGTCATCCTACGTCAGTCGTTTCTCTTTACAGAGGTTGTTTGTTTCAATTTCAGTACGCGATACCTTCTGTTCATATCCTGTCATGGACCTGTGTACGAAAGGTCTTGGACAACATATACCAACCTTAAAGGTGACAAATTTGAATCACGCCTTGATTGAATCATTATTTCCCTGATGTATTGATAGGGGTGTGTACCTATAAAATTTATCTAAGGCTCATTACGCCCACTACCCTTATTATGGTACTGCATAACCCCCTCCCCAATTTTGGTCCATACCTAAATTCATCGCTTTCATTGCTGTTTCTTCACTACAGGCAAAAGGTGTGAATCTAGCTTGTATCCGCTCGTGTGTCGTGGTTGCCGAGGAAAGGCCTCGTATCAACCTTACCTCAGCATTCTCTGCTTTGTTCTCTGGTTTGGGCCTCTCCCCGCGGTCTGTGAGCACTTCGTTTGGGTGCCGCGTCAATGTCGCCATCTGCACACAGGTACTGTTTATATACTGAATACAGTCGGCAAACTCTTGAGAAAGTTAACAGCAGTTACCAAGCCAGTTCACCTTCTCTAAGAACTCCCAAACCTGTAATCCTTACGTGTTGCTGTTAAAAAATTTAAGGTGGCACTTGAAGATTGTTTTGTATTATGCTACTGCATCACAGTTCTACTGACAGATCGTCAGTATAGTGGTGATTAAAGAGAACTGTTTCACCGATTTCAAGCTAGTCCGTTGTTTTCCTGTCTAGTATAGACTAAATACTGATCGCCCATTTGTTTTTCAGGGATCCGCCAGCCCAGAGACAAGTACAGTGTATGTTGATACACGTGCTCTTAGAAACGATAGGTGGGTATATGTTTACCTTTTATGTTCGCAGATTTTGGAAGACCCTGCATCAGGATTGACTCAGTTTAAGATTCACATCGAACGTTATCCATAATATACCCCATTCATTGGGCCAATTTAACAATTATATCTCATATTCGTAGAGTGACGTTGGTTGAAAAGGGAAGTCCACATAGTACTTGTCTGCAAGAATCTGGTAAAATTCTTCCCGGTGTCAAAGTTGTTATAGCAAACCCGGAGAGTCAAGGAATGCTTGGTGACTCGCATTTAGGAGAGGTAAACTATGGATCTTACTCAGTTCTTGGCATTTCTCTCAGAATTGCGGCGATGTAGAATAGTCTTCACGGCTTTGGATGAAGTTTTTGATGGTGGTCTGTTTGCTTTAGATCTGGGTAAGCAGTGGTCATAATGGAACAGGATATTTCAATACGTCAGGAGATGATTTACTATCAGCAGATCATTTCCAAGCTCAGCTCTTGACTGGAGATACCACATCCAGATTTGCTCGCACAGGATACCTCGGTTTTATAAAACGAACGGATTATACACAAACTGATGGAGGTATATTTGCTTGTGATATTTGCCGGCGTACATTTTCAGCCATAAGATTAACAAGGGCACACCGACAGATCTGTTAACCCAATGACAGGCAGTAACACAAAAAAGAAAAGTCTGGTGCTATTTCGAGTTTCTCAGTTGTGTGATAAGGATTTTACTGAGTTTCTTGTCACGAAAGTTTCCTCATTTCTGTTGTTTTCCATCAGCTCGCCACGATGCATTGTTCGTTGTTGGTTCGCTCCATGAGGCATTAACGTTACGAGGAATGCGCTACCATCCAGTGGATATAGAGAACTCCGTTGTCAGATGTCATAAATCCATCTGTGAAAGGTTAGTATTGTCTCATTTCGCTATACCTACATTTTCCTTTCTTTCCGTACCTATTATTTGCCTGTGGTGTTGCTCAGCCGTTTGCTCTTTTTGACCTTTCATATATCCCAGTGCTGTATTCACATGGACGAACCTGCTTGTCGTGGTCGTCGAGCTCGAGGCGAATGAAAACGAGGCTTTAGACGTCGTACCGCTGGTCACGAATATCGTGCTAGAAGAACACCAGCTTGTAGTGGGTGTAGTCGTCGTCGTGGACCCTCGAGTGGTTCCAATCAACTCTCGTGGGGAAAAACAACGGATGCATTTGCGTGATGCGTTCTTGGCAGATCAACTCGATCCGATTTACGTGGCATATAATATGTGAAGTTCATGGTGAAGCGTGTATGTTCGTGAATGTATGTTTGGTGCAGGCGTGCAGGTCACATTGCCCCAAGCCGTTTTGTATAATACTCGAAAGTAGGAGAAATCAGTAGTAATATATATACATATATATATATACTAAATCAAGTCTAGGTCACCAATCATTCTGAGTTTTGATAACAAAGAATCGTAAAGTGAAGACGTAAAATGACACAGTGTAGCGAAATAGCGAGATTTGGTATCCTCGTTAGTTAGACCAATTTCATGGTGTGAAAATTCTCGAAAGTAAAAATTTGAGGTGTAATATTGTATATAACATTTTAGGTTAGCTTGCTAAGCCACCTAAGGACTTTTAAAACTATAGAGTGAAAACTGCTCAAAATTGAGCTTGTGTGTGTGTGTGTGTGATATTTTATTATTTTAGTTCACCCAATGTGAGTTCATTTTCTGTGATGAAATTTTCATCGAAAATGATTTCATTTAAAAGCCTGAAAACAGTTAAAATAAAGTTTAAAAATTTTGAAGAAGCTAAAAATACTTTTACCAAAATCAAGGCTGAATAAATGAAATCACTTTATAGTTTTATGAGACGTTAAGATTTGTCATGTGTGTCAAAAGAACTTTGGCCTTAACTAGTCATCGTAGAAGTGAATCTTACTAATCTTAGTAATGTAAAACAGTATATTTTAGTTAGAGAAAGTTGAAAAGATCATTAATCATGGATTGTTAAATGACTAAAATGAATTTACCTTTTACAATTTATGTTAAAAAACAAGAAATAAGTAAAAAATGTGCTCTTTAACTTTTCGTCGGTCTGGCAGTGTTTAATACTCATTTGTATGAAGTATCCTGCAGCTTCTGACCACATGCGGGCTACTTTTCCCAGGATGAAATACGTCATGTAAAATTGGTGTAAATGATTGTTTACATTTACAGTCTGAGAAATTTATAGGAATTTTTATTTTCAAATATTATCAGCTAGCGCTGCTTTGGATATAAAGAGAATGCAGAGGCATAAGAGGCCATTGGATTTTGCTGAAAGTCCCTATGAAGGAACGAGACATTATCAATCTCCTGTTTTGGCAGCTGAAAGGCCTTTCATGGCATCAAGTATTTCAGCTGAGCTACTTAGTGGACAGTGGGTAAGGAGTGGGAATGTATTTTGTTGACCGATAACAAAATGTTGATAATTACACCCCAGGTATTCCTGTAGTAAATGCTTCGGCAAGTGATCTCAGCTGGAATGTGATTATCAAACTGATATTTAGGGTAGAAGCAACAGAAATAGGAATGGAGGGATTATAGTTTGATAACCATTTTTAGGTCTCACCACAATTCCCCGACAAGAACGATACTTGCTCAAGTCCAGAGGCTGGCAGAAAAGGTCGAAGAGGCAGAGCTGCATGTAAAAGAACTAGGACACAAAAAAGGAGAAAAGAGACTGTAGAAATGAAAGAGAATAACATATTCCCTGCATTAAATTTTCCAAACAACACAAATGAACCACTAAAACATCAAAAAAGAGACAATACCCAGGTGTCATTAAGAAGATCAAAACGAAATACCTTACATCGGTTAAATGACATTGCAGTATTGGGGCAACCAGAAATACCTAATGTTAATACTAATAAAAATTATTTTCTATTCAGTCTTGGAAGCCCCAAACCTATTCCACTTTCAGGAGAAATTTTAGTCCCAGAGACTCCTGAGAATCAAATATTAAAGTCAAATAGAAGGTTAAAGACAACCAGGGATTATATTTAATTACCAAATAATGGTAGAAATTATTATATTTGAAATAGTGTTTGGTTTGTAAAATTGAATCTTCAATAAATGTCATAGTGTGTTTGAATATTAGTTAATTTTCAGCGAAATTTATAATGGAAACACGATGAATTGAAAATGAAACCTGCAGGGTGGAAACACGAACATGAAGTGAAAAAAATGGCGAAGATTTGTGGACCGAAGCTTTCAAATTGTTGCTTTGTTTTAAGTATTTGGGGAATTATATTGTTGGTATGTAATAAATATCACGCTTCTATTCAAATAGATGTAATACTTGTTATCTTTTGAGCAGTTTCAGTGTCCAAGAAGGCAGTCAAATTAGAATTTTTAACATTGTTTACGTTGCATAAATTAATTTCTGCGTATTTTTGTTAGGTATTTTTAGGGATTTTCTTTCAAATTAAAAGCGTTGCGTTAAGAGAGGATATTAGTGAGTTTGGTGATTATAAAAAGACGTCAAGGTTTGTGTTTATATAACCTAGCTTCTTGAAATTTTTTGTTATAGTAGAACAAAATCCACGTGACCTTTAATTTTTACAAATTTCAATCCTTGACATTCTCTGTGTCATTTAATAAAATACAGATCACCAAAAGTCATGTATCTTGCTTTTTGGGTTAGAGCTATTTTTGATATTTATACTAGACTCAAGGCCATGTTACACCATGCAATTCTTGCAACTTGCAATGCAAATTCTACTTTTAAGAGACGTAAATTAGTCAAGAGACTTTAAAATGTAAATGTAAGAAACAGCATGCGCCATGGATTGTAATAAAGACAAAAGTTCTGTAGTTGCCAAATTTAGATCTCTCAAAAGAAGAATGGCATTGCAAGTTGCAAGAAAAATTGCACTGTGTAACAGGGCCTTCATTGAGTTCTCCAAACAAAAGTAGTGACCGCCTGTCGTCGTGAGTTTACAATGAGATGCATATTCGAAGTGATATCTCAAAGTCTCGATTTGCATTGGCATGCAGCAAAAAGCATATGACGTATATTATTAATCTAACTATACTCTCTGTGTCACAGGAACTGTTTCATAGCAGCTGGCTTATACCTTGTAACATTGGCAATTGCTGGACATCAAAAATGGTCAAATCAGAGGATGGCTGCCTCGACAAATCTGTAAGATATTGTAAGAATATTTATGCTTATCAAACCTTCTGCTAGTTCATTGTGATGGCTGTGAATTCCCCTGCACTTTTTTAATAGTGAAAGTCAGAATGTAGACTTTATGCCATATAGCTTAAAATATTCACATATGAAATTCACTTGTTAAAAATATAATGCAGTAACATGTAAACATTATGACAAGACCATATAAATGAATAAAATGATAAAGAATGCAATATTAACAAACAGTCGAATGCTAAGCAATTCATATATTAACTCCAATAACGTTTCATAAATGCTATATTTTATGATGAAATGGCCATGGTTGGAAAAGGGGCTTTGTTTTCAAATTTAGGTGTAAAATTCAATGTTTTGTTAATTTTGCATACAGTAACTAACCTATGCTAATTGAACATCATAACACAGAGTTCTAAGTATTATAATTTGTTTTTTAGAAGTAACTTCCAAATGTCACGGTTAGAATAAATCAAGAATATTTACTAACATAACCAAGCTGTAAAATATATCTTCAAAACAGACGAGTGCTTTTAAGACATACTCAGAATAATTTGTCTATAACTTCAATTAATTGATGTAAATATGCATGAGTTAGCCAGGATTTAATATATTCATAGAAAATATATTTGTTACTATAAAATTTAATGTTAACACTGTAATAGTGCATTTTATTGAGGTATGAGAAACCAGCAAGGATTGATTTGTATACATATTCACATAGAATGAATATTAACATCCAGTGACATGTAAAATCATTAAATTAGGACTATGTCTAGTTGACTTGCCTAAGTATTTAAAAATAGTTGTGTTTTAAAGTGGTGTTTTACTATTTTGTTAATGACATGCTTTGCAATTCATTTTAAAATAATAAAGTTTCTTAATAGTCTTCAATGGGCCAATACTTGGATTTTCAGGATCTTTTTCAGCCTTATTGTCCCATGAATTCACAATTATACTATCAAGTTATGTAGCATGGGTTCTGACCTATTTTGCTGAGATGATTTCCCAAATAATTAGGCCGTAATATTCCCACTTTTCAGCATCTGTTAAAAGAAGTGCTTACCTTTCTGCAAAGCGTTCATAGTGTTAACTAGTCTTTTGCTGCAATGATTATGTTGTTGCAAGCATGTTTTCACTTTTTAAACACTGGCCTACAGTCACCGAGTAAATGAAAAACATGCAGTTCGGATTTGTCTAAAGTTATTATTGTTAAAAAATATGCAATCTGTATTGTTGAACCCTTGGAACATGTTCTTACCCTGTATTTATTTTCGTATTCTGTTGCTAACCGATATTGAATGTTTTTCAAGCCTTTTGTTTTTTTTCAGATTGATTGATTCGCATTGATATTTAGGAATGAAAGACTAACATAATAATATGGGAATATGCAGAAAATTAAAGCTGATTGGAGAATTTTATGACATACATGTAAAAATGGACATTGCATACTCTTTTGACACAATAATAGAAATTACGTCCCATAGGCAGTTACTGTCAACTATTTGTAATATTTGTATGAAATTTCACATTGTGCGTTAGTGTCTTGTTGCAATTGTATTGTTATATTAAAAAGTATTGCCTAAAGGAATATGTGTCAATCAGTGGAAAGAATTCTTTGTGGTATTTTGCATTTGTATTTTGGATTTATCACCTACAGACCTACTATCTTTTCTTTTTTATCTCACAGACATGCGCCTTGCATGTAAGTGTATTGTACCTCAATTCACTTCATTCCATAAAGAAATCGACCGGTTTTAGGTTGCAGTAAATGCAGTGAGTGAAAAAGAACACTTTACGTTTATGAAACATGCTTCAACGCTATTGGAAAACGAAAAAAAGTCAAATTCAGTGTTAGAAAACCTTACGCAGTCGCAGTAAACGAGTAATAATTCCACGATAACCGCATTGAGCAATGTCATGTATACTAAGCTGATGACTCTTGGACTGATACCGATTTTCCGACCCACTTTTTTGTTGGGTTTCGAGGGAGAAATTGGTGTTCTCGTGTTTATTTAGGGAATGGTTCGAATGCTGGACGGAATGTTTCTCATTAGCATCTTGAAAAAAAGATTTAAGTAAAATAAAAAATACTATTTATTATTGAAACAGGGAATAGTCGCGAGGTAACGAGAATTGCCTCGCATTTGGCAAGTTGGTGGTTCGAATCTTGCATGGGAAAAATGTTTTCGTCACGACCCGAAAGAAAAGATTATTTTTTATTGGGTTTCCAGGGAGAATTTCGTGTTACTGTTGGAAAGTTTTGGCAATTACCTGCTTTAAAAAAGGGTTAATTATGTCTAAGGCTTAATGAAAAATTGATTCAAAGTCCACAAGTATACAAACGATGTAAGCACGTGCATATGTTTTATAGGTACGCGTAATTTACTATGTATGGACGTGCACGTTTTGGACGTTCGCCTACGTTCGCTATATATACGCTATCCGCCGAAACGAAATTTTCAAATTTTTCACTTTGCTTTTTTTTGAACAAATCTTAATGCTATTGCAAATGATTAAACGCAAATAGAATAGCAAAAAACGCCACGCAGTCGCAGTGAACTAACTGGTAATGCCTACGATTTCAGTGCGCATGTGGAGCACTCCCAATCAGCACACTGAGCTATGTCACATATATACTAGACATTTTTAATTGGGTATCGGTGTGTTGTGTGCTCTTCTCTTCTGAGGGTTTTCGGTTGTCATCTTTCGCTTTCTTGACCCTTCTTTTTTGTGGTCACTTCTCTCGGTGCTGCCTTCGGGCTGTATCGTTGGAGATCCTTCGGGATCTCTCTAAAAACCTTCCTCTCTGCTACCTCAATTGGGGACGCGGCGGGGGTTTGTTTTTCTCCCCCAATGTGCCCCCGGGATGTGGGAGCAACCTCTTTTGTCTTCCTCTTTAATTTACGATCAGTCTACTCAATATATGCAAATGAAGTTTACGTAATCATATCTATGACGTAATAATTTATGCTGAACCTAACACATGCGCAGTTCACGATGAGCTTCTCTCTGGATCTATTCAATATGGTGGTCAGTCAAGAAATGTTTTTGCTTGCAAAAAGATCGTAAAATGTTGGCGCTACAAGCTCGGAAAAGGTATTGAAAATACTCCCATCTCCTTGCTTTGTTATTTAGTGTAATCTTAAGCGAAAGAAAGCGATATAAAGGTTATAATAGTTGTTTAATTTCAAATTCTAATAAGTCGAATTTAACATTTAACATTGCTTTTACTCATAATTTGGTTTTCTGTGATGACTACCTGCTAGTAATGGACAAATATTGCGTGGAAATAGCCACTTAGAACACACAAATATGTGAACTATTAAAAACTATTAGTTTAATTCAAAATTCGTGTGTAGGGAATCCAACAAACCCAGCTTCTGCAGTTCGCCCTTTATCATCTGATTACTTGCAATAACTTTTACAAATGAGTAAAACTTTTCAACTTTTGATATTTTGTAGATTGTAAATGAGATCAGGCTTTTTTAGCTTTATCAGCATCACAGGATAACAAGGTATGTTTATTAATTTTAAAAATTGTGCATTAAAAATCGTCTGCCTAGAACTGAACAAGCATTGCTAAAGATGTATGGTGTTTATTAACTGCAGTCGGTATTTTTGCATTTTAGAAGGAAGCATCCAAACAAATTCAAAGATGACTAATTTTAACATGGTGGATACGAAAGTCCTTCCTTGAAAACCTACTTCAGTCATTTGTCGGTGAGTTTCTTACGGTTAACTGTGATTTTCGCTTGGGCTTTCTATTCCTTTGTATTATTGCAAATGAGCTTGATAGGTTATTGAATAATGAGTAACTCGTGTCGTAGTATTCCAGCATTTTACTGACTTGATTTGATTGCGCTCATAACTGTAAATGATGCAATAAACAGTCTCTATCATATAAACGTCTCAAACCATTCCCTTCAACATATGTTTGTATTAGGCATCTCTCTCTAATAAATGCCTCTCTCGAATCAAAACACCAGTAATGGTTAATGTCCCTAGCGTGGTTGTCTGTTTCATCATGGTTATAATGTTCAATTTTAATTTGTATATTTAATTTTTATCTGATCAGGAACTGTTTTTGTTTTGTTTTGAGAATGTTCAGAAACAGTTTTAAGTTTACATGCACCAACTGCATTAAGTGACACTTGATGCTGTATGTATTAGAATGGCATCACAAATATAATATTTAGACTTAGTATTTAGACTTTTGACTTCTTCAAAATATGCTCCCTCTAGAATTGCCAGATTTCATTAAGGTGGTCTTGGTCATTATAAATGCCAATTTACTCTGTTTTAAAAATTTCCAGGGATGCAAACTTAAATGTTTCCGTAATGGATACTCAATATTTTTTCTCAAAAAAATATATAAAAAATGCAAGAATTAAACGAAAAATTTAATTAATCAGGATTTTATCCCAAGCAAACAAAATGAGTCGATTATCTTGTTTCATTGTTCTGTATGATTAAAGAAAAAATTTTTTGTCGCTTTTCTTAGAAAACTAAAACTCTCGTTCCCCTTATTTTCGTGAATGATAAATCAAAAAATAATAAAGCTAACTTGATAAAATGGTTGACTCTAAAGACAATTGGCTCGGATGTGAACCTAAAAGTGTTTGTATTCCATTCAGTCTATGTAAAATAGGGACTGTTTATTTTTGATAGATGATAGCAGTTTTATATTTATAGCCTGGAAAACATTTTGGAAAAGTTTTATTTATTTGAGGTTCAGCTTCGAGGCAAAAATATTTAGAACGAAATAAAACTAATACCGTCGTTCTAGCGTTAAAACATAGCTTGTTACTTGTTCCCAAAATCGTCTATTTTCCACCATGGGGTGTGTTTGTTCTGGGTAACTATAGTAATTGAAGATTCCTACAAGTCTTTTTTCACTCAGAGCAACTTGGCTTGCAATATGTCATGAAAAGATTTTTATATTTTTCAAAATAAAAATTAAAAAAATCAATGACCTAGACTTGAAAGCCCCAGATCTCTGTACTGTCTCTTTATTGGTATTATTATACATTATAGTAGTAAAAGCAATTTGATTGGCTAATAGTTGACAGATAAATCATGCGATCTGCAAGAGCCTGGGGTGGTTAACTAGCGGTATTCATTTGAATGTATTTATGTACTAATAATTGATGTATTTTTGGATGTTGCTATTAAATAAGGTTTTTCATTCGTTAATACTATGTTTACTATTCTTCAAATGTATAATAAAACAATTATTGATTTCGGTTTTTGTGATATGCAGAGTTATGAAGGTCTCGGTAAGCGTTATCACTTATCAGCCTCGCCTTCAGCTCGGCTGATAAAGCTTACCTCAACCTTGATAACTCTGCATATCACAAAAACCTCATCCAATAATGGTTTAATATATGATGAAAATGGGAGCTTTGGATGGTTTTGCAAATTGTGGGAAATTCCAAATTGTTTGGTGGGCCATCCTCCTAGGTTTGCCAAAAACCCTGGGTAATCGATTGCACTGGGGGTCTTAGCAATAAAAAAGTGCTGACTGAGGAATTTTGTGCAAAGAGCAAGGATTTATGAATTTACAAACATGAATTTTGAAACTTGTTCTCAAGATTATTTACATGGAGAAAGAACCAAATATATCACTATCACAATCAATTTTAAATACAATAACTGATTACCTGAAAAATATTGAATGTATTGAAAATATTGATGGTTTTATAATTTATAATGCAGTATGAATAATATAAAATTGTAGGGTAAATTGATGCACAAATCAGGAGGGGGGTATTCGGCACGCCCAGTACGCCAAAACCTGGGAACGAGGTAGATTTCGGAGAAGAATGGCGAAGGAAAGCCCGGAAAATTTTAAATTTTCTATGTTTTAAAGAGAAACCAAAAATTTATATTAATGAAGTGAAGGTTGTTGAGAAACCGATTATAAGCATATCTAGATATATATCTCATAAGCGTATGTTTTGTGTTTGCTGGATTTTTTAATATGACTTCGCGCATCGAATGTCCGAATTTTCTGGAAAATTTTTTCGGTCGATTTCTTTCGCATAATTTCAACGTTTTAGAGTGAGAATGTTTGTCATGCCCAAGCATTTATTTCACGTAAATGAGGTTCATTTGTTCTGCTTTGTTAGATTAAAAGTCCAGCGAGAAATGAAGTGAAAGGCGCGTAGATTTGAAAACCACGAGGTGAGTAAGGCAGTAAGCCGCAATTTTATTAAATTTTCGTACTTTTTTTAATAGTGTGTTGTTTTCGTTTTATTTTAACGTTCCATGCCCCAACCGAACACTTCAATAAGGGTGCAGTAGTTTTA